TTCAACAGAGAAATCAAAAGCTTTACAGACAAGCAAAAGCTAAGAGAATTCAACACCACCAAACCAACTCTACAACAAATGCTAAAAGAACTTCTCTAAGTGGAAAACACAAGAGAAGAAAAAGACCTACAAAAAACAAACCCAAAACAATTAAGAAAATGGTAATAGGAACATACATATTGATAATTACCATAAATGTGAATGGATTAAATGCTCCAACCAAAAGACACAGGCTTGCTGAATGGATACAAAAAGAAGACCCATATAAATACTCTCTACAAGAGACCCACTTCAGGCCTAGGGACACATACAGACTGAAAGTGAGGGAATGGAAAATGATATTCCATGCAAATGGAAAAAGAAAGCTAGAGTAGCAATACTTATTATCAGATAAAGTAGACTTTAAAATAAAGAATGTTACAAGTGACAAGGAAAGACACTACATAATGATCAAAGGATCAATCCAAAAAGAAGATATAACAATTATAAACATATATGAACCCAACATAGGAGCACCTCAATACATAAGGCAAATGCCAACAGCTATAAAAGATGAAATCGACAATAACACAATAATACTGGGGGACTTTAACACCCCACTTACACCAATGAGCAGATCATCCAGACAGAAAATTAATAAGGAAACACAAGCTTTAAATGACACAATAGACCAGATAGATTTAATTGATATTTATAGGACATTCCATCTGAAAACAGCAGATTAACTTTCTTCTCAAGTGACCACAGCACATTTTCCAGGATAGATCACACGTTGGGTCACAAATCAAGCCTCGGTAAATTTAAGAAAATCGAAATCATAACAAGCATCTTTTCTGACCACAATGCTATGAGATTAGAAATAAATTACAGAGAAAAAAACGTAAAAAACACAAACACATGGAGGCTAAACAATATGTTACTAAATAACCAAGATATCACTGAAGAAATGGAAGAGGAAATCAAAAATTACCTAGAGACAAATGGCAATGAAAACAGGACAATCCAAAACCTATGGGATGCAGCAAAAGCAGTTCTAAGAGGGAAATTCATAGCAATACAATCCTACCTCAAGAAACAAGAAAAATCTCAAACAAACAATCTAACCTTACACCTGAAGGAACTAGAGAAAGAAGAACAAACAAAATCCAAAGTTAGTAGAAGGGAAGAAACCATAAAGATCAGAGCAGAAATAAATGAAATAGAAACAAACAAAACAACAGCAAAGATCAATAAAACTAAAAGCTGGTTCTTTGAGAAGATAAACAAAATTGATAAACCATTAGCCAGACTCATCAAGAAAAAGAGGGAGAGGACTCAAATCAATAAAATTAGAAAAGAAAAAGGAGAAGTTACAACAGACACTGCAGAAATACAAAGCATCCTAAGAGACTACTACAAGCAACTCTATGCCAATAAAATGGACAACCTGGTAGAAATGGACAAATTCTTAGAAAGGTATAACCTTCCAAGACTGAACCAGGAAGAAATAGAAAATATGAACAGACCAATCACAAGCAATGAAATTGAAACTGTGAATAAAAATCTTCCAACAAAGAAAAGGCCAGGACCAGATGGCTTCACAGGTGAATTCTATCAAACATTTAGAGAAGAGCTAACACCCATCCTCGCAAACTCTTCCAAAAACTGCAGGGGGAGGAACATTCCCAAACTCATTCTACGAGGTCACCATCACCCTGATACCAAAACCAGACAAAGATACTACAAAAAAAGAAAATTTCAGACCAATATCACTGATGAATATAGATGCAAAAATCCTCAACAAAATACTAGCAAACAGAATCCAACAACACATTAAAAAGATCATACACCATGATCAAGTGGTATTTTATCCCAGGGATGCAAGGATTCTTCAATATATGCAAATCAATCAATGTGATACACCATATTAACAAATTGAAGAAGAAAAACCATATGATCATCTCAATGGATGCAGAAAAAGCTTTTGACAAAATTCAACACCCATATTTATGAAAAAAACTCTCAAGCAAGTGGGCATAGAGAGTACCCACCTCAACATAATAAAGGCCATATAAGACAAACCCACAGCAAACATCATTCTCAATCATAAAAAACTGAAAGCATTTCCTCTAAGATCAGGAACAAGACAAGGATGTCCACTCTCCACTATTATTCAACATAGTTTTGGAAGTCCTAGCCATGGCAATCAGAGAAGAAAAAGAAATAAAAGAATACAAATTAGAAAAGAAAAAGTAAAACTGTCACTGTTTGCAGATGACATACTATACATAGATAATCCTAAAGATGCCACCAGAAAACTACTAGAGATAATCAATGAATTTGGTAAAGCTGCAGGATACAAAATTAATACACAGAAATGTCTTGCGTTCCTATACACTAATGACAAAAAATCTGAAAGAGAAATTAAGGAGACAATTCCATTTACCACTGCAACAAAAAGAATAAAATACCTAGGAATAAACCTTCCTAAGGAGAAAAAAGACCTGTATGCAGAAAACTATACGACAAAGATGAAAGAAATTAAAGATGATACAAACAGATAGAGAGATATACCATGTTCTTGGATTGGAAGAATCAACATTGTGAAAATGACTATACTACCCAAAGCAATCTACAGATTCAATACAATCCCTATAAAGCTACCAATGGCATTTTTCCACAGAACTAGAACAAACAATTTAACAATGTGTATGGAAACACAAAAGACCCTGAATAGCCAAAGCAATCTTGAGAAAGAAAAACGGAGATGGAGAATTCAGGCTGACTTCAGAGTGTACTACAAAGCTACAGTAATCAAGACAGTATGGTACGGGCAGAAAAAAACGGAAATATAGATCAATGGAACAGGATAGAAAGCCCAGAGATAAACCCACGTGCATACGGTCACCTTATCTTTGACAAGGGAGGCAAGAATATACAATGGAGAAAAGACAGCCTCTTCAATAAGTGGTGCTGGGAAAACTGGACAGCTACATGTAAAAGAATGAAATTAGAGTGCTCCCTAACACCATACACAAAAACTCAAAATAGATTAAAGACCTAAATGTAAGGCCAGACACTATAAAACTCTTAAAGGAAAACACAGGCAGAACACTCTATCATATAAACCATAGCAAGATCCATTTTTACCCCCCTCCTAGAGAAATGGAAATAAGAACAAAAATAAACAAATGGGACCTAATGAAACTTAAGAGCTTTTGCATAGCAAAGGAAACCATAAACAAGAAGAAAAGACAACCCTCAGAATGGGAGAAAATATTTGCAAACAAAGCAGCTGACAGAGAATTAATCTCCAAAATATACAAGCAGCTCATGCAGCTCAATATCCAAAAGACAAACAACCCAATGAAAAAATGGGTGTAAGACCTAAATAGACATTTTTCCAAAGAAGATATACAGATTGCCAACAAACACATGAAAGGATGCTCAACATCACTAATTATTAGAGAAATCCAAATCAAAACCACAATGAGGTATCACTTCACACCAGTCAGAACAGCCATCATCAAACAATCTATGAACAGTAAATGCTAGAGAGGGTGTGGAGAAAAGGGAACCCTCTTGCACTGTGGGTGGGAATGTAAGTTGATAGAGCCACTATGGAGAACACTATGGAGGTTTCTTAGAAACCTAAAAATAGAACTACCATATGACCCAGCAATCCCACTACTGGGCATACACCCTGAGAAACATAATTCAAAAAGAGTCATGTACCACAATGTTCACTGTAGCACTATTTACAATAGCCAGGACATGGAAGCAACCTAAGTGTCCATCAGGAGATGAACGGATAAAGAAGATGTGGCACATATATACAATGGTATACTACTCAGCCATAAAAAGAAACGAAATTGCGTTATTTGTAATGAGGTGGATGGACCTAGAGTCTGTCATACAGAGTGAAGTAAGTCAGAAAGAGCTACAACTGAGCCCGCGTGCCACAGCTACTGAAGCCCGCACTCCTAGAGCCCGTGCTCCGCAACAAGAGAAGCCACTGCAATGAGAAGCCCACGCACCGCAATGAAGAGTACCCCCTCCTCACTGCAACTAGAGAAAGCCTGTGTGCAGCAACAAAGACCCAATGCAGCCAAAAATAAATAAAATTAAACCTTTTTAAAATAAATTTATTTTATTCTATTTTATTTATTTGGCTGCTGTGGGTCTTCGTTGCTGAACGCGGGCTTTCCCTAGTTGCGGCGAGCAGGGTCTACTCGTCGTTGCGGTGCGTGGGCTTCTCATTGCGGTGGCTTCTCTTGTTGCGGAGCACAGGCTCTAGGAGTGTGGGCTTCAGTAGCTGTGGCACGTGGGCTCAGTAGCTGTAGCTCGCAGGCTCTAGAGCGCAGGCTCAGTAGTTGGGGTGCATGGGCTTAGCTGGTCCGCGGCATGTGGGATCTTCCTGGACCAGGGCTTGAACCCGTGTCCGCTGCATTGGCAGGTGGATTTTTAACCACTGCACCACCAGGGAAGTCCCAAAATTAAACCTTAAAAAAAAGAAAGAAAAAAAAAAGCAGTTGTTGGTTACCAAGGATTTCCTTTAAAAAAACAAAAAGAAGTACAACTAGAGAGAAGTCCGCATGCCACAACGAAAGATCCTACATGCCTGAACGAAGATCCCGTGTGCTGCAACTAAGACCCAATGCAGCCAAATAAATAAATACATAAATAAACATTAGAAACAAACAAACAAAAAAGCATCATATGGTAAAACACTTTACTATGGGTAAAGTCCAACATAGGAGAATTAATAACTTTTTGGTCAGATCTTCAAGTTTTAAATTATTCATAGAAAGGGCCTTTCTCAGCTCATTTGAAAACAACCAATAGGTTTCCTCAAAATTACATAATCCAAACACTTCATTCACTGGCATCAGTAAATGAATCAAAAGATTTCAGATCAACCATTCTTTCAGAGTACACTGCCATGGCTTAATGTACTGAGTATATGAACAGCCTGCCTCCTCCCGATCACAAGCATCTCCGTCCGCCTTATTCTGTCTTACCTCTACCACGAGCTCTCTTGCCACGGTCTGAAGGCTTGTCCCCTTGATTGCAATCAATTCCATTCTCTTCACCTCTAACTAAGGAAGAAAAGAGCACCCCTTATACATAATCAAACTAACAGCTATTACAGCTATTAAAGACAAGGACAAAAAGTCTCCCTCCACCCCTCAACAAAAAAAGGCTTTTTAAAAAAAGGTTAAAATTTAACCAAAGGGTTTGGAAAACAAGAAAAACCAAACCAGCGTGGCTCAAAAAACTGAATGACAGCACAACTTGCTTAATTCATAGGTGAAAATTCAAAAAGAAATTAAAATGACGCACCACTTTTATTTTCTGTTTTGACGTGTCCTCCTGTAAAGTAAGTTTACTTCCAAAAAAAAATACCTTTGTTATGTAACTATACACAACAAAATCTGCTCATTGCTTAAGTTCAAAGCCTGGAAAGGCATAGATTAGCAAACCGCAATACCAAGGAAACACTGAATTCTTGGGGAAATCATTGTTAGAGACAGGTTTTTCCAGGTTACTGTCCAGAAGATGCCAACACAGTCTTTTCTTCTCCTTATTCCTATATTGGCATTAATGACTCTGTATAATACAGAAATTTTATGAACAATATTGGCACAGCTTGCTCCCCTCATCTCTTTTATGGCTTAAGTATGTGAGGTGTCAGTGAGGCCTTCCTTGGTCACTGTCTTTAAATTTGTCAAACCCGTACCTATAATTCCCATCTCTCTGCCTTTGTTTTTTCCCCAGAGCATAATTTTCTACATAATGCCATTAAAATATTACAATATCAATATGAAATGTTACTTCTCTTTTTTATTGTTACATCTCACTCTACCTCCCTTAAAAGATGTTTTAGAAGGGCAAAGATTTCTGTTTTCTTCATTGCTGTATGACTTGAAGACTATCCACTACACTGTCGATACTCAATAAACATCTGTGGTATAAATAAACTAGCAAAAGTCTATAAAGGAACATGTTAAATATTTATCATAATTTAGCCACTTTGGTATGTCTGCATAGGAGGTAGTGTTGTTTGGGGTGAATGATGCCAAAACCTGAGTCAAATGGAGAGAACTGGGAAAAACCTTTCCTATTCAACAACTTTCCTCTTAATCTAAACCTTGCATATATCATGAGTATACATAAGTGGGGAAGAATAAACAGCTTTAGCTACCAGCCAACAAAAAAACCTTCTTTAAAATTAGATGATACACTTGATTCATAACAGAAGGCGGTCTTAAGACACAACACAAATACCTACAGCCCAGGTCAGCGCTAATATGAAATTGTATCAGTTAGGGTTCTAATAAACTACTCAGTTGTAGCTCATTACTAACTGTTAACTATACTAACAAATATTGCACTGAGGAAGTGGATTTATAGGCATTCATTGGATCATTCTGTCAGCTTTTTAACATGCATGAAAATTTTCATAAAACCAAAGGTGAGGAGAAAGGTCTTTACTTACACTCTCTCCCACGATTGCCACCTCTTACTTTCCGGTTGTTGCTTCCGCGTCCACGGCTCACTTCTCTCTCACTTCTCTTCTCTCTATTCTCTTTGTTTTCTGAACTTTCTTTTCCAAAATTCTTCTTCTTCCCTCCTACAGTCTCCCATGAAGTCTATCAAAAATAAAAGCATTTATTCAGAGTTATCACTCAAAGTGTGGACAATCATCAAGAGTGTGTGCATTTATCTTTCAGACCTAATTACACATGCCTTATAGCTTGCATGCCTACCATTTTAATTCTTCTCCATAAACGTACTGTACTCTCTGATGATAACGACAGCAAATCTCTTGTTAGGTTCCTGTTGCTACAGAGAGCACAAAAGATTACAGCAACTAGTTGAATTGACAACATACTATAGGTTGTCCCACCACAGAGCCTTTTCCTATGCTGATAAGCATAAAGTAAATGTTATTTCCCCAAGCTCCCACTCTATGCCATCCCCACCTACCTCAGTAGTAGCCATGGCTACTGCAGACAACAACAAGGTAAGAAACAAGGCAAACAGGATGAAAGAAAAGATGGACCATGGAATAATCCTAAACAAACCAGGGTTTCAAAGGACTTCCCCTCTGCCTCTCCATTTTCCCTATAGCCTTCTCATCTCCAAACAGGCAAATGCCTTTTGTGTCTGTATTCAGGTCCTAATTTGCTAGTTTCTGACCTTTTAAGAAAACAACATGCCAGATCTAGCCCCAACTGTGTGACTTCTAGGTTCAAGAGGTAACCAAAGGGCTTCCCTGGTGGCACAGTAGTTAAGAATCTGCCTGCCAATGCAGGAGACACATGTTCGAGCCCTTGTCCTGGAAGATCCCACATGCCGCAGAGCAACTAAGCCCGTGTGCCACAACTACTGAGACTGTACTCTAGAGTCAGTAAGCCACAACTACTGAGCCTGCGTGCCACAACTACTGAAGTCCATGCTCCTAGAGCCCATGTTCTGCGACAAGAAGCCACCGCAATGAGAAGCCCGTGCACCACAACGAAGAGTAGACCCTGCTCGCTGCTACTAGAGTCCGCGCACAGCAACAAAGACCCAATGCAGCCAAAAATAAATAAATAAATAAATTTTATTATTTTTTTAAAAAAGAGGTAACCAAAGAGATCTTTATGTAACTTTCAGCCTAGAACCACCTCCTTTAGGTTCAGTCCCAAATGAGGAGAGGAAGTTGAAAGTGTTTATTGAGAGAGAACTGGCTGATCATTTAAAACTTAAAAGATTCACCCAGCCACCAAAGAAAAGGAGTGATGAATCTGTGGGAGCTAAAGGAAAGGCAACAGGAAAATAGTATTCAAGCCTATCTCTACCATATAAAAGAAAATATGCCTTCCAATTAATGATTTGGAATTATTTCATTTATTCACAGTGATTTTTTTTTTTAATAAGAAAGCAGTTAAGCCCTTTAGTTCATTTTAAAAATAAGGGAGAACTACTCTACACTGCCTCCATTAGCAATGAGGTGAACACCCCCCACAGTTTATAAAACCCAGCAAATACATGCCCAAGTGTCAGCAAACAAAAACTTCAAAATTTTATTTCCTCACTTAACATGATATATTTTCCCAACAAACTCACATATTTGGTAGTTCATCATGTTGGACCAGTGTAATCTTGCATAGAATTTTACACACAAATACTGCTATACGCAAATAACGAAATATTTTCCCAATTATCATTAATTTTTATAATTACAAATTTTATTCTGCTTGTTTCCTATTAAATAAAAATATACTCATTTCAGTTTTGAGCTTGTCACAGTAGTTCATTTTAATACAGCCTGTGCCTAAAAAAGCCTACCCCTAAAAATGAGAACTTGATTAAACCTAAACAATGATAAGGAAGGCACTTTTTGATGTGTTCATCTTTATACCCCACTTAGGTGAATCATTATTTGTTTTAATCTGCTCTGGTTTCCTCAATGAAAAAATACAAATGAAATACTGTGTAATTTCCATGTAGAAATCAAAAGATTAGGGCTGACACCTGCCTCTGGTGTGGCTTTAGCTGCATCCTCCCTAAAATAAAAGGGAGGAGCTTTAGTGTGCATGCGCATTCCTCAAACTTGATTAAGCTTAAAAATTTTTTTTTTCTTATTTTATGTATCTGTCAGATTGTCATGAAAATGTGTCTGTAGAATATTCACACATAAAAAAATAGAGATACCAGCAAATCCTGGTTTTCTGTTAGTCTAGAGATATAAAGAGTGGTAAAAGGTGACAAGTGAAATGAAGAAACATGAGCTGTGGAGCCAAGAGAAGTTTTTCAGGTGGTGAAAATGTCCACAGGCCCAGATAATTTTGGCAACTGTGTAAGGCTGGAGTAGATGACCAAGTTCTCTTTCAAGTCTTCAGATTCTACAAGTTCATGAAGAAAACATACATAACAAAAACAGTCATTTCAGGTTAGTGTTCTTTCTGGACTTAAAACATATATGGAATGGCACCCATAATCCCCCTCTACCACCACCCCCGAATAAGGTGAAGTTGAAAATGCAATATGGAACTGGAGAGAAATCTTAGCATTGCAAATCAATTAATAATACTTACCGTGTCTGAATTCCCTTCCAGCAATATATTGATAGCTTTGTTGACATCTCCATTACAGTCATGTAGAGCCACTATGCATTCATCCTGATTTTTTCCTGTCACTTCCATAAGCTGTTGGAATTATAAGACAATGATTAGGGAAACAGAAGAATGGCACTTGATATTAATCCTAAGATTCTACTATATAAAGACAGAGATTATGCAATCCTTCCACATGAAGATGGCCTTTTCAAGACTCTGAGATTACAATCCAAGATCAGGTTTACCTGTTTTGGGGGGCTACTCCATGTCTTTCGACCAACACTGGTAAAGTCAAGCTATAAATCAACCCTCCTCCAAGCTGACAAAGTATCAATTCTTAATCAGCAGCACATACATACATACCAACACTCTCAGAATACTCAGGATGAGCTATGTGACTGCTCAAACTAGTTCAATGACCTGGGACTCCCATATTTCTGAGCTACTCAAATATTAAGTGGAACTATATGTTTCCCAAAGACCAAGCATGAGTATGTGGCCACAATTAGCCAAACATCCAGTCCAACTGTTTGCACTGTCCAACAGTCCAGTTGACTCCATCAATGTTCCGTACATGGGATATCACTGCTTGGATTAGAACACTGCACATATAAAATAACTTTTAACACCCTAAAGTCTCACAATTAGAATTTGGCAAAGCAATCTACAGATACAATGAAATCCCTATCAAATTACCAATGGCATTTTTTACAGAACTAGAACAAACAATCTTAAAATTTGTATGGAGACACAAAAGACCCTGAACAGCCGAAGCAACCTTGAGAAAGAGAAACAGAGACAGAGGCATCAGGCTCCCTGACTTCAGACTATACTACAAAGCTACAGTAATCAAGGCAGTATGGTAATGGCACAAAAACAGAAATGTAGATCAATGGAACAGGATAGAAAGCCCAGAGATAAACCCATGCACATATGGTCATCTTATCTTTGACAAAGGAGGCAAGCATATACAATGGAGAAAAGGTAGCCTCTTCAATAAGTGCTGCTGGGAAAACCAGACAGCTACATGTAAAAGAATGAAATTAGAACACTTCCTAACATCATACACAAAAATAAACTCAAAATGGATTAAAGACCTAAATGTAAGACTGGACACTATCAAACTCTTAGAGGAAAACATAGGCAGAACACTCTTTGACATAAATCACAGCAAGATCTTTTTTGACCCACCTCCTAGAGTAATGGAAATAAAAACAAAAATAAACAATGGGACCTAATGAAACTTAAAAGCTTTTGCACAGCAAAGGAAACCATAAACAAGATGAAAAGACAACCCTCAGAATGGGAGAAAATATTTGCAAATGAATCAACGGACAAAGGATTAATCTCCAAAATATATAAACAGCTCATGTAGCTCAATATTAAAAAAACGAACAACCCAATCCAAAAATGGGCAGAAGACCTAAATAGACATTTCTCCAAAGAAGACATACAGATGGCCAAGAGGCACATGAAAAGCTGCTCAACATCACTAATTACTGGAGAAATGCAAGTCAAAACTACAATGAGGTATCACCTCAAACCAGTTAGAATGGGCATCATCAGAAAATCTACAAGCAACAAATGCTGGAAAGGGTGTGGAGAAAAGGGAACCCTCTTGCACTGTTGGTGGAAATGTAAACTGATACAGCCACTATGGAGAACAGTATGGAGGTTCCTTAAAGAACTAAAAATAGAATTACCATATGACCCAGCAATCCCACTACTGGCCACATACCCAGAGAAAACCATAATTCAAAAAGACACATGCACCCCAATGTCCACTGCAGCACTATTTACAAGAGCCAGCTCATGGAAGCAACCTAAATGCTCATCGACAAATGGATAAAAAAGATGTGGTACATATATACAATGGAATACTACTCAGCCATAAAGAGGAACGAAATTGGGTCATTTACAGAGACATGGATGGACCTAGAGACTGTCATACAGACTGAAGTAAGTCAGAAAGAGAAAAACAAATATCGTATAAACGCATATATGTGGAATCTAGAAAAATGGTACAAATAAACTGGTTTGCAAGGCAGAAACAGTGACACAGATGTAGAGAACAAACGTATGGACACCAAAGGGGGAAAGCGGGGCTAATAGTGGTGGGATGAACTGGGAGATTGGGATTGACATATATACACTAATATGTATAAAACAGGTAACTAATAAGAACCTGCTGTATAAATAAATAAATAAGAAAAAAAATAGAATCTGGCAGCTATCACAAAACTCACTCCTGGACATACTGTTTTCTCAAGTAGCCTCAACAGGGTGCTATGTTTGAAATCAAAGAAAACTCCTTGGTGCTTTCCCTTTAACAAGGGATAATTAAGCTACTTAATATTTTCAATACAAGGAACAATCACAGATTAGGCACAATATAGGTTTCTCAGTTATCAGTGAACAAATGTATGATTTAAATATCTGCTGTGTTTTAAGTATCTTTAACTATTTTAGTATGTATCAGCTGCAGTTCAAAACAGTTTGACCCCCAACATCTGAAGCGATTTCTCTGTGGTCAGAAAACAATTAGCCTTTCGGGAAGCCAGGTCTCCTGATCTCATAAATACAACTCTTTACACCACATCATTCCATCTGATTTCCTCCCTGTGTTACCCAGCAAGGTTCTATACATTCTACAGCTTTCCCATGCTTCAGTCTTTGGACGTCTACTAATAAGGTCAGATTTTTTTTTTTTTTTTTGTGGTACATGGGCCTCTCACTGTTGTGGCCTCTCCCATCGCGGAGCACAGGCTCCGAACGCGCAGGCTCAGCAGCCGTGGCTCACGGGCATAGCCGCTCCGTGGCATGTGGGATCTTCCCAGACCGGGGCACGAACCCGTGTCCCCTGCAACGGCAGGCGGACTCTCAACCACTGCGCCACCAGGGAAGCCCAAGGTCAGATTTTTATCAACAATCTACAGTAGGTCAATACCTGTCACATGCAGTTGTTAAGATGCACAGCAGGGACTTCCCTGGTGGCGCAGTGGTTAAAAATCCACCTGCCAATGCAGGGGACACAGGTTCGAACCCTGGTCCTGGAAGATCCCACATGCCGTGGAACAACTAAGCCCACAAGCCACAACTACTGAGCCTGCATGCCACAACTACTGAAGCTCGCGCACCTAGAGCCTGTGCTCTGCAACAAGAGAAGCCACTGCAATGAGAAGACCAGGCACCACAACAAAGGATAGCCCCCACTCGCCGCAACTAGAGAAAGCCCACGCACAACAACCAAGACCCAATGCAGCCAAATAAATAAATAATAATATTTATAAGAGACATGGACATATATATACTAACAAACGTAAGGTAGATAGCCAGTGGGAAGCAGCCGCATGGCACAGGGAAACCGGCTCGGTTCTTTGTGGCTGTCTGGAGGGGTGGGATAGGGAGGGTGGGAGGGAGGGAGACAAAGAGGGAAGAGATATGGGAACATATATATATGTATAACTGACTCACTCTGTTATAAAGCAGAAACTAACACACCATTGTAAAGCAATTATACCCCAATAAAGATGTTAAAAAAAAAAAAAAAAAAAAGATTTATAGTAACCGTCAAAACTCCCCCAGTGATTGGATTAGTAAGAGAGAGAACCATCGTTAAAACTTAAAGCTCTGGGGCTTCCCTGGTGGCGCAGTGGTTGAGAGTCCGCCTGCCGATGCAGGGGACACAGGTTCGTGCCCTGGTCCAGGAAGATCCCACATGCCGCGGAGCGGCTGGGCCCGTGAGCCATGGCCGCTGAGCCTGCACGTCCAGAGCCTGTGCTCCGCAACGGGAGAGGCCACAACAGTGAGAGGCCCGCGTACCACAAAAAAACAAAAACAAAAACAAAAACTTAAAGCTCTGAACTCCTCTACCAGTGCTCTTTTTTGTGTATCTGCTATGCTACTCAGATATAAGTCGATATAATATGTAGAAGTATGTCTCAAACAATTCATAAATCTCATTCCAGCGAATAAGTTCTATGATTTTTAATAAATAATTTTTGTGGCTTTCCAAAAATATCACCATTAAGTCTAATGACAGCAACTATAAGTAAGAAGAAAGAGTTTACATACTAAAGGGCTAAAATAAAGAGTTCACCAAGGGACTTTCACTCCAAGGAATTACTGGTAGACCTCTACCAAGGTAAAGGTTATTGCTTGGTTTCTAGAGTCTTGAAGGAAAAAGAAGTCTTATCAGGAAAGAAGAATGTGAAATTAAAATAATATTATATCAGTGAAGTTCTAAGTGAAGACATCACCCTAAAGTTTAATTTTATAACTTTTCCAATCTATGTTTGGGACCACCACAATATGTGAAAAGGCAAATCAGCTCTTCCGTAACACTGAACAAAATTTTCTGAGAACCTTCCATATACTAAATATACTTTCTACGCACAGGTATATACAATGTCATTCTACTTTCACAAATGCTCATTGTTCACATGTAACACTAGTAACTCAGAAAGGTTCTACTGCCAAAACTCCTTCACTCTAGCCACCAATACAGGTATTTTGATTTTGAATCACAAGTTCAAAATCCAATTATTTACAACTAAGCAAGAAGCACAGTTTAAAATAAGAATCTCTAGTGAAATTATCTTTTTAAGCACAGTAAGAATAGATTACAAAAATGACAGTATCCTTTGCCAGAAACATACCTGTTTAACTTTAGCTTCAAACTCTGAATCATTTTTATCAAAGATCACTTGAGCAAGACGCATCTGTTCAGCTGTTGCCTGGAAAAGCACAAACAACTGTTCAAGATTGGAGCACCAAAAATACAAGCTAGATACCAAAATCTGGTATAAACAAGATAAAAACTCTCAATCACAGTGGTAACAGAAATACTGATTAACTAAAAAAAAGGACTCTGAATTTAGACCTCTTAAATGTATACAGTGTATTCCCAAAAGGTAATAAGCATCAAATTAAATAGCATAAAGGTCCCATTCCTTTGACCAAAGGACCTAAAGTCCTGTTCATCTTCATTAGCCTTGTGACTCATTTGAATTTTCATTTTTTTTTTGTGCGCGCGGTACGAGGGCCTCTCACTGTTGTGGCCTCTCCCGTTGCTGAGCGCAGGCTCAGCGGCCATGGCTCACGGGCCCAACCGCTCCGCGGCATGTGGGATCCTCCCAGACCGGGGCACAACCCCACGTCCCCTGCATCGGCAGGCGGACTCTCAACCACTGTGCCACCAGGGAAGCCCTTGAATTTTCTTTTTGAATTTTCTTTCCCCTGGGCAGATGAAGTTACAGCGTAACAGAAAGTGGAAGAACAGGAAGCAGTGGAAACAACTGCCAGGATACAGGCTTAGACACAACCTTGCTGTCAAAAAGCAAAAAGCTCTGCTATCACTCAAAAAAGGTCAGTTCGGAAGGGGAAAGGCTGTATTTATCTAAATAAAAATTATTTTTAAAGTTACATTTTTATTTTTAACCACAATTTTAAAATGGTTTTAATTTAACAGAATTTTAAAGGAAGCAACTTTCAAATGCTTAAATTAGTCAACTATGTAGAAAACTCTTTTCCAGTTGTTTTTTTCACTCAAAATCCTTCTTAAAAAAAAATTCAAATTACCGAATTTTTGAGGTTTCCTTTTGTAGTATTTCTGGCAATTAAAAATTAGAAAGGTATTTTTTATTTAAGTATTTATTTATTTATGGCTGCGTTGGGTCTTTGCTGCTGTGTGCGGGCTTTTCTCTAGCTGCAGTGAACGGGGACTACTCTTCGTTGCGGTGTGCGGGCTTCTCATTGCGGTGGCTTCTCGTTGCGGAGCACTGGCTCTAGGCGTGCGACCTTCAGCAATTGTGGCTGGCGGGCTCTAGAGCGCAGGTTCAGTAGTTGTGGCGCACAGGCTTAGTTGCTCTGTGGCATGTGGGATCTTCCAGGACCAGGGCTCGAACCCGTGTCCCCTGCATTGGCGTGCAGATTCTTAACCACTGCACCACCAGGGAAGCCCAGAAAGATATTTTTTAAATGAGGAAACTTTTGGGTATTCCCTGGCAGTTCAGTGGTTACAACTCCGCGTTTTCACTGTCGAGGGTGTGGGTTCAGTCCCCGGTCAGGGAACTAAGATTCCACAAGCCATGTGGCACAGCCAAAAAAATAATAAAAAATAAGAAATTTGAAAAAGGTAACTCTTGTGCAATCAGTTAATAGTAACATACCAACCATTGCTAGCTAAAATCTTTACTAACTCCCAACATAAATATTTTTAAAGTTAAATCATTTAAATTACTGAATGAGCTTGGCGGGGAGGGGAGATCCACCAAGTGCTAATAATAAACAACTTTAAAAAAATATATTTATTTATTTATGTATGTACGTATGTATGTATGTACGGCTGCATTGGGTCTTCATTGCTGTGTGCGGGCTTTCTCTAGTTGCGCAGAGCAGGGGCTATTCTTCTTTGCAGTGTGCGTGCTTCTCATTGTGGTGGCTTCTCTTGTCGCGGAGCACGAGTTCTAGGCATGTGGGCTTCAGTAGTTGTGGCACGCAAGCTCAGTAGTCATGGCTTATGGGCTCTAGAGCGCAGGCTCAGTAGTTGTGGCGCACGGGTTTAGTTGCTCTGCAGCATGTGGGATCTTCCCGGACCAGGGCTGAAACCCATGTCCCCTGCATTGGCAGGCGGATTCTTAACCACTGTGCCACCAGGGAAGTCCCAACAAACAACTTTTCACCTTTGCTTTTAATATAGATTCATAATAATCTCAATGGGGGTGGAGGGGGAGAGGTTGTTAGTGTTTTTTACATGTAAAAATGCTTCTCACAAGAGCTTTCCAGTCCATGTTGTTGGTTGATTATACAAGCTCCAGCTGGTCTGTTCCCTCCGATCTAATGGCCAATCCTTTCATCCCAACCTATGCCTGCTGTGACCTCAGTTGTAGCGTTACATTACACCCAGAAAGATGTTTGTACAGTGTCTACACACACAGCAAATTTTACCTCAATTCTAACCAGTATATATAAGGGCCTTCTTTACACACACCCTCAAGTGAGAAGTCCCAATGTGGCAGCCAAAGACCACGGTATGAAATAACTGAATGAGATAAAAAGAAAAACCAAAGGGGAAGGTGAGTTCTGGAAGACGGCACTTCCACGTTATACATTTGAGCTTTGGGTAGTGGCAACCTTTTATGAAAGTAAGCCACTGGGATAAAAAAAGAATATATATATATATATATATATAAAACTGAATCACTCTGCTGTACAGCAGTAATTAACACAACATTGTAAATCAACTATACTTCAATAAAAATAAAAATTTAAAATTTAAAAATAATTTAAAAATTAAAAAATAACAAACTAAAAAAAAAATCAAAGAAAGTAAACCAATGCAGTCCTTAGTGCTAAAACCCTGCATGATTAATTTTTGCCCATTTTTCCTGATAGCAATCACTTCTACTCTGAATTTCAAATCTAGAAATTGTACCTCACACATATTCATTGAGCCTTGCTGCAACCCAAGCAATATGAATGTTCATCGCTTACCATTAAATTTCCTTAAATTACAAAATTTTCACAAAGCCCACAAGAAAATAACAGTGACCCATAAGGTAACTATCTAATACCAAAAACTATTTATTTGGTACTTACATATTTTTCTCATATCAAGAACAAAATACTAATCACACTACTTTGTAGGAACACATAATCAATTGTAAATACCTCTATCATAATGCTTATTGGCTGCATACAAGTCTACTGGATAGGTCTTGCATTTTACTTACTCTGAATTCTTCATTACTACCCAAACACTACAGGGAGCCATTATTACACCTAATACATCCAGGATAGCTTTCGTAGAATAAATACAAAGATGTGAAACTACTAGGTCAAAGAAGTATATAGAAAAATGTTAAAAGGAGTTTCATACCATCTGCTCAAAAATGCTATTCACAAAGGCTGCAAAACTTTATACTCAAATATAATTAAGAGTGTAAAAGAGCCTGCTTCCTCAAACTCCAGTCTAAAAAAAATGCAAATTTAACCAATTAAAAATAAAAATGATCTCTATTTGAGAGGCCGCGTACGAAAAAAAAAAACAAAAAAAAAACTATAAATATACTCTTCAAATGTGCAATGGTCAGGAAAAACAAGGAAAGACTGAAAAACTGTTGCAGATCAGAAGAGACTAAGGAGACATGAAAACAAATCCTGGAACAGAAAAGAGAACTTGGGGCTTCCTTGGTGGTCCAGTGGTTAAGAATCTGCCTTCCAATGCACAGGACGCAGGTTCGATCTCTGGTCAGGGAACTAAGATCCCACATGCCATGGGGCAACTAAGCCCGTGCAATGCAACAGAAAGATCCCACATGCCACAAGGAAGATCCCGCGTGCCACAACTAAGACCTGACTCAGCCAAATAAATAAATAAATATTTAAAACCAGAAAGAAAAGAGACCTTAGTGGAAAAACTAGGGAAACCCAAATAAAGACTGTATTAATTTAATAATATTGTGCCAATGTTATTATCTTACTCTTGTCAAATAATTATATAAGACAGAAGTTAGTAAACTATAGCTTAAGATCTGATTTTTGTATCGGCTAAGAAAGGTTTTAAAATTTTTAAAATATTGTAGGGACTTTCCTGGTGGTCCAGTGGTAAAGAATCTGCCTTCCAATGCAGGGGACACGGGTTCGATACCTGGTTGGGGAACTAAGATCCCACATGCCATAGGACAACTAAGCCCACGCACCACAACTACCGAGCTCAGGCGTCTCAACTAGAGAGCCTGCGTGCCGCAAACTACAGAGCCCACGCACTCTGGAGCCTACACACCTCAACTAGAGAAAACCCGCAAGCCACAACTAGAGAGAAGCCCGCACGCCACACTGAAGAACCCGCGTGCTGCAACAAAAGATCCCTCAAGCCCCGCGTGCTACACCTAAGACCCAACACAACCAAACATAAATAAATTAAAAAAAAAAATGTTGTAATACAACAAAAACAAAGAAGGAACATGCAACAGAGATTATGTGTGGCCTGCAGAGCATAAAATACTTGCCATCTGACCCTTTTTGGGAAAAGTTTTCCAACATTTGATATAAAATGTTAGCAATAAGGGAAGATTGGTAAATGTTGTAGAGATCTCTGTATCATTTTCCAACTTTTCGGCAAATCTTCCAAAACACTGATTCCAAAACAGTTTTTTAAAGAAAGAAATAATAGAAACTACAGTAGAAATAAATGAAATAAAGAAGAGAAAAATCAACAAAATTGACAAACCTTTTAGCTAGAACAACCAAGAAAAGAGAGAGAAGCCTCAAGTTATTAAAATTAGGAATGAAATAGGGAACATCATTACAAACTTTAGAGGAATAAAAAGGACTATAAGAAAATAACCATGAACAAGTGTATGCCATCAAGCTGGATAACCTAGACAAAAATCAACAATTTTGTCTAAAAAGGCAAATTCCTAATAAGGCACAAACTACTGAAACTGACTCAAGAAGAACTGAAAATCTGTTAACAAGTGATTGAATTCGTCATCAAAGAAGTTCCCAGAAAGAAAAACCCAGGCCCAGATGGCTTCACTGGTAAATTCTACCGAACAATGAAAGAACATCAATCACCAATTTTTCACAAACTTTCCCGAAAAAATAGAGAAGGGGGGCTTCCCTGGTGGCGCAGTGGTTGGGACTCCGCCTGCCGATGCAGGGGACACGGGTTCGTGCCCCGGCCCGGGAGGATCCCACGTGCCGCGGAGCGGCTGGG